CAGGAGGGCAGGGTGGGCCCAGGCAGGGCCCAGGTGCTAGAGCAGGGGCTGCTCCAGGAAGTCAGCCTCCTTGCCAATGGGGCCCTGTCCCTTGCAAGACCTCCACCCAGCAGTGCCCGAGGTGCACAAGGCTACATGCCCAGCTGTGGCACAACTTGGCTTCATCTGGGGGGCAGGCCTCCCACTGGCCTTTCCTGTGGGAGGTCCTCATGCTCTGGATGCACAGCCAACGTCCACCAGATCCCTCCGGGTGGGCCTGGGCTAGAACCCCACGGAGCAGTCAGGAGACTGCTGACTGCTGCATTCTGGGTCCAGCCATCACCGCTAGCAGAGCCCATGGGGTGTGGGAATGCGGGTGTTCCTCCATCCTGGCCAGTGAAGGCCTGTGCCAGGGAGACCCTTCTCGTGACACCAGATGCCTCCCCTGGAAGCCCCCCACCTGGGGCCTTAGCTGTCACCTGGCTATTGGCCCTGGGGGCCTGTGATCCTGGTGGAGACCAGGGGCTTCATGTCAAGGCCCACCCCACCTGTTTCCTGGCAGAGAGGATGAGCCCCCTCCACCTTGAAGCTCTCAGTGCTGAGATCAGGTGGCTCCTCCCCCATCCCCAATCTGCTAAGAAGCCATGTGACAGTGGCCACCTCCCACTGCACTCCAGGACACACAGGGCTCCCACCCTGCCGCTTCCTGTGGCTCTAGAGCACTGACCTGCTAAACTGCTAACTGATTTACTTACTGTAGTCACTGCCTGTTGAGCCCCACTGACTATAAACTCTAAGGAGAGGACTTTATGACCCTGTCCCCAGTGCCTAGGACATGGCAGGGGAGCCATCAAAATGATGGGGTGGAGGAGAAAGAGCCATCCGGGGGCCTACTCCATAGCCCTCTGGGAGGAAAACATGTGGACACATTGCGGAGGGGGGTCCCTGTGGGCTCCTTCTGCCAAGGAGGCCGCATGTGGCATCTGGTTTGAACAGGCCACAACATGGACTCCTGCCCAGAGAGTCACCAAGGTCCACAGCCATCTTTGTAAAAACCTGAGCTGGTCTCTTGATCTTCGCTGAGTGGCTTCTGATGGCCCAGAGGTCTGGGGAGCCTTGCAGCACCAGGCTCCGGGGGCCGTCCTGCCCCCCCCCCCCCCGCCCTGCAGCGGCACATGCCAATTTCTCTTAAGAATGTCCTGGAGAAGGCAGCACTAGGTCTTGGCCTTTGAGGTTCTGTGTGACCAAGCAGAAAGTGTCGTGAAGAGCCAGTGAGAGTGGGTGGAGGTGAGCGTGTGCGTAGCAGTGGGGGCTGCCTGCCAGGAGCAGGTCCCACAGACACAATGGGATCCCACAGACGCAAGTGGCAGACTGGGTATTCTGCCATGGGCATCTGGCAGATACCGTCTTGAAAATGGGCCTGTCCCCCAAGGGAGACAACTGGCAGCATTTACCAGTGACGAAATCTAAACTTTCATGCAAAAATCAGAATCCTGAAAAACTTGTCCCCACCAGGAGCTTGGAACTTCCCTACTTGCAGGCTTCTCTGTGGGGACCCATGGTGACATCAGCAAACGTGATTGATGCTGCTGGGTGAATTGTGTTGGTGCCAGGAAGATGCCCGTCGCAGTGAGTCACAAAGCCACAGTGGCAGTCACTGAAGGGCGGGTAACAGGCAGATCACAAGGACGCAGAAGGCAGGTGGTGGTGGTGGCTGCAGAGGCCTCGCCTGCATGTGAAGAACCACACTCCTGAGTTCCGCCTCAGCCTCTGCGCCCAGTTCTGTCTTCTCTGGTTCTTTCCCCAGACACTGGTTTCCGAGTCACTCCAGACTCAGCCCAACAGTGCCCACAGCAGGTGGTACAGGTGGCCCAGGTGGCTTCCCTGAAGAGCAGTGCCACTCTCTCTTCTCACCAAAACCTTCTTATTTGGGAAAATATATTTTTCACAGAATTGTTACCAGTGTAACATCATGGTTCATTGTTATCTTGAAATGAATAAATGTCTTTCAAATATCCAGTCTAATTTCTAATAAAGTCTACTAACAGGCATCCACCTTGGTAGTTGGAACCCCCAGGCAAAGTCCTTTGGTGTCTCTGATCATTTTTCAAGTTGCGAGGGGTAAAGGTTGGAGTCAGGCAGGGGATTCAGCAGTGGAGCTGCTGGGCGGAGACTGCCACTTCTTGTTCCTCCCAGTCCTCCACATGCCCAGGCCCAGCCAAGCTCTGAGCAGGCCATGTGCTCCTGGGGTCTCAGTTTGCAGGTCTGCAGTCCTCAGGAGGCCGAGCATGTCTTCACACAGAGCTTGTTCTCGAACCTCGGGCCCCCTTCTTTTTTCATATGAATTTAAACATGATTTCATCCATCTCACAACAACAGTGTGGTTGAGCATGCAGCTGGAATTGCATCAGTGACATGACGCCGCATGCAGAGCTGGGCCCTGGGTAGCCACACGGTCCTGTGCGCTGCTGGTCAGGCTCACTCCCAGGTTTCTCCTGCTTTGAGTCACAACTCCGAATGGAACATATCTTCTCCTTTTCGATAGGCTTCAGCTGGTTTAAAGAGCTTTTGATCTTTTGTATTTTTAGTTTTCTGGGTCTACAAAAATATCATATGAAAATAAAGGTAATTTTCACTTCATTCCATCTCTCATTCTGCTTATTTTGTTTACTTATCTTCATGCATTTGCTGTAAATGTCACAGCAACATAAATAACAAAGGTGGGAGTGAAGATGTCTGCCGAGTTCCTGATTTGAGTTTCAGTGCCGACATGCTGGGATGCTGGATCTTATTAAACATTGTAGCATTCGCTGACAGACTTCTCCTCAGTGGACCAACAACCAAAGAAGACTGAGAAGTGTCACGGGCACACTGTGGAAGGCACAGCTCTGGGTGCAGGACAGTCAAGTCCTACAAGGACTTCAAGGACTCTACTCCAGCTTGGGAAGGGGCAGCACCTGGTGCAACTGAGCAGGAGCCCCAGACTCTGCTCAGACAGCAGAAGAAGGATGCAGAGACTCCTTCTGAACATAAGCTCAAGGATGTCAATCTAGTCCTGGAACCAGCCCTGCAGGGACTGAAGCAGCAGTGTGTGGTGGCCACGTGGAGGAGTCTCAAGTATAACAGAGAAGCTTGATCAGCCACCTCTTGCAGGAGCGTCTGGGCTTGGCCACCCTGTAGGGCCACAGGAGATGGGGGTGTGGTCTCAGCACCCTCCCTGGCTCTGTTCTCTCTTGAAGGATTGAAGCTGCTCTTCCTCTAGTGAGAATCAGAACAATGGCCAGTCCATGGGAGCTGCTGGCCTGCGTCAGTGGTCAGCAGCTGGAAGGCAAGCAGGTGTACATGGGCAGGTCACTAGGTGTCCATGGGGAAGTCCCCAGCACCAAGGGCTATATAAGCACTGAGCATGTCTATTTCATGAATTCTTAGAGTTGTGTCTTGCAGGTGGACCTGAGCTACCAATGAGCCAGGGCAGGCTCCCAAGTTCAGGTCTCCAACAGACATCTCCAATCTCCTGTCCTCTAGAGCCCCCTCTCTGCTTCACAGGAAACAGTTGGAGCTGCTTGTGCTGCATGAGCCAACTGCATGCACCACTCCCTGGCTAGAGAGGCAGCGGAACCACATTCGCAGCTGGAAAATGACTCTGATGGGGATATTTACACTACAGATCATCAGCAAGTGCTGCACTGCCCCAGGACAGGGTTGGCGGGGCGCTCCCTGAGTCCATAGCAAAGGGGCCCAGGAAACTGCTCATCTAATCAGCACCCATGCCACCTCCCCCACTTGGCCTGGGCTGACCTCTGTACCGCCTGACCACCGGCTGGTCCCACACTCCCTTGCCTGGCTGACTTCCAGGTTCAGGGAGGGTCAGGAAAGCGGGTGGTCTCACACCAGGATGACAGTGGCAGACCCTGGCAGAGCCCGCCTCCACCCCTCTCCCCAGGAATCTGCTCACCAGCAACCAGAAAGGCCTTTTTCTCGGTACTGAAAGTTGAACCCAGGGGCACTCTAACTCTGAGCTACATCTGAGCCCTTTTTATTTTGAGACAGGGTCTCACCAATTGCTGAGATCGTCCTCAAACTTGTGATACTGCTGCCTCAGATTCCCAATTTGCCGGGATCACTGGCATGTGTTACTGCACCCAGCCAAAGAGCACTTTCCCAAACCACAAGGCAAATCCTGTCACTTTCCTGCTGACCCACCACACAGAACCCTGTCCCGTCTGGGAAGGACCAGGAAGCAATCTGCCTAGTTCCAGGGGATAAACCAAACAGGCCTGGTCCCAGACTCCCATGCAGCCATGATGACCAAAGCCAGATCCTAGTCAATGACACAGGTGAATTCAGCCAAGGGTTTCTAGAAAGAACTGCTCAACTGGTGCAAGGCCAGAGGCAGTGCACCAAGCTGGCCACTGGGGCTGCCTTGGCCCCAAGCCCCCCCCATTGCAGAGGTCAGATCCACAGCTGTAGCAGCTGGCAACTCAGAATGCGCTTGAAAAACACCAGCAGTGCACCAGTAGGCACACAACCAAGTGGCCCAGCTGCAGGTGGCCTGCCTCTGTCTGCCTGGGGCTTGCTCTGGCCACCCCCCACCTCTGGGTTCCTGCACTGGCTCTTTGCTGCGCGGACTGTCCTCCAGCACCAGGTCCTGGCTCCTCCCCTGCAGCACTGGCCAGTCTGTAGCTGCTCCTCTGTTGACTACAGTGGGAGTGTCTTACCAGGCGACCTCCAGGGTCCAGAAGAGCAGTAGGGCAGGCCTGCAAGCAGGTGTTGTTGCCAAGGAGGTGGCCGTGACATCTGGCCACCGAGGGCAGCGCAGCCCTGTGCATCTGCCTTGGGGTCAGAGATACCTCAGGGCAGAGGCAGCAGGTCCAGGGAGGGAGACACCCTTCCCTCACCCTTCAGGAGAGCGCGCATGGGCACCAGCCCACCCTGACCTATCTCCACTTGCTTTCCTTTGCAGGACAGATCAACCTGGTGTGGCCCTTCCAAGCCAGAGAAAGTGAGCTTTGCTTCCAGGCAATAGTGAAAAGTACACATTTAATATCAAAAGCCATTTCAGGTATCATCGATGAGACTACCGTGGAGGGTGGGTTCTAGACACTCTTACTAGGAGTGACCTGAGAGTCCCTGGTCTTGTCCAAGGAAGGACATTAATGCTGGAGATAGATAGGGGTCTCATGGTTGCCCAGGGCCCATGGGGTCCTCATCAGGGACGTCCCTACCAGGGGCAGCCCCTGGAGGCCGAGTGGAAGCCTGTCCCCTCCGCAGGACCCTGCTGCCCGGCTGCGGCCTGGCGGTTGCAAGCGGCCTAGCCACTGGACTTGGCGATGATCTTCTCCAGCAGGCTCATCATGCGCTCCTGCAGCTGCAGGCTCTGCACCTGTAGGATGTTCTGCTGGTCCAGCACGCGCCGCACCTCGCGGCAGGTCTCCTCCATGGCGCGGCTCAGCCTGCGCTGCTCCTCCAACATGGCCTCCAGCAGCCGCAGCTTCTTCTTCTGCAGGTGGCAGCTCTGCACCTTGCGCTTCTTCACGGGCCGCTCCTCTGACCTGCAAGGAGTGCTGCTGTGGGCCGCTGGCCAGAGACCCATGCCCACCCTGAAGGACAAGTAGGGTCTCCCAGGCCCTAGGAGCAGAGCCCCTGCTCAGGCCCACAAGCCCACACATGTGAGGAGGGGCTGGAGCCCACCCACCACGACAGTGGGTTGGTAATGGGGTCAGAGGCACCCGGGCCTGGGAACCAGCAGGCAACCCATGATGGCCCACAGCCGAGGTCTGGGGAAGGTGGGTGCTCTGGGCTGTAAAGGGCACACGGCCATGAAAGCACCAAGCCCTCTGAGCTGGGCAGGCAGGAGGCCCAGCCCCAGGGAGAGATGGAGGCTGAGTGTGTGGGGGTGCTGGGAAGTATGTGGCCTCCGTGCTCCTACAGGGAAGCTGGACACTATCAGGCCCAGCTGGCCATGCACAGGTGGGAAACGGGTCCTAGAAGGAAGGGCCTGAGGCTGGAGACCCCTCCCACTCCCAGCAGCATGGAGAGGGGACCAGCATGCTGAGGGAGACAGGAGGACAGACAGCTGCAGAGGGTAGAGGCAGCCCCAGGCAGTCTAGCCTGTGGCTGTCCCACGGTGCTCTGTTGTCAGGGTGGCGGGCATTGCTGGTTAACAGCCTCGCTGGAGAGCAAGGACTGCCAAGCCCCACAGACCCCAAGGCCCTGCCCTGGTGCCTACATGTCCCCAGCCTGTATGCTGTGTTCTAAGCAGAGTGGGTGACCAGCCAGCCTTGGGGATGGGAGAGTGGGGCCCCATCCCACCCGGCATGGTGCCCCGGGCAGCCGAGTCTGGGAACTAGGCTCAATAATCCATGGGAACAATTGGCCATAAATCTCAGGCCTCGTGTTAATTGGGTCTGGCTGCAGAAAGGCGTTTTTGTCTGGGATCTTCAATGAGAAGTTCCCTCCAGGGAGGGCACTGGGTGAACTGAGTAGAGCGCCCAGCACTGGGGATGCTGGCCGAAGGGACCCTCCTCAGAGATGACTTCCTTGCCCTATCTGCCATCAGACAGACTTGATGAGCAGGGTACAGGGAGAGACTGACTCAAGGCCACATCTTCCTACTCTCATCAACCGATCAGCTTCTACTATACCTTGGAAGCCCGTCCTAAATGTCCCCTTCTCATAAGTGGCTGCTTTGGGCTCCCTGGCCTGTCCTCCACAGGGACCTCTCCTGGACACAGCCTGGCTGCCAGTGTCTGTGAGCACCCTGCGGGCATGGTCTTGTGGCTTACGCCTTCCTGTGTTAAGTGCTGGTGCGGAGGGGGCAGGGCCCGCCCACCACCCTGGAGGCTCAGCCCTACCTTCTCAGGTGCCTGCAGGGCCAAGGGTGGGGACCAGGGTGGGCAGGGCGAGCACAGTGGGGCCAGCTTGTCCTCTCCCGTGCTCCTGGCAGCCCTCTGAGGAAAACACGGAATTATCCCCATTTTACAGAGGGAGGCTGAGGCCAGAGAGGTCAAGGAACTTGCATCAGCTCCAGTGACGGAGCCGGCACGGAGCCGCCTGCCTGCCGACACTACGGCCCTGCTGGCCGGGGCTGGCCTGGCCTGGCCTGGCCTGGAGGCAGGCACACACTGTGACTTTGGCTGAGGATACCACACCAGGAGAACGGGCGCCCTCGCCATTCCCAGCCCCTTGCTCTGCCCAGCTGGCCTCCTGGTGCTGCCTGGGGGATGGGCAGAGGCGGGGCGGCGAGGCACCTGGTCAGAGAAGGAAGAGGGGACACACTACCTGAACTTAAGGGACAGTAAGCTGGAGGAGCTGTCGGAGCCATCGTCCTCGAAGCGGCCTTCGTAGGAGCACTGGGTATACGGTAAGTACAGAGGGGTGGACTTAGCGGACGGCGACAGAGACGCCTCGGTCTGGGACGTGGAGGGCCCCGGCTGCTGGCCGTCTGGTAGTTTGCCCTCACAGGACTCAGGGACTTTGGCCAGAATCCTATCAATGGCTAGGTAATAGGGCCAGTCCGGCGGGACGGACTCGCTATCTGTCATGCATTTTAATTTCCTGCAACGAGAGACAAGAGCCAAGGTGAGAAGCAGCTGGTCCCAGCCAGCCCGCCTGGTCCCTGGCGGGGGCACAGGGCTCCAGGACCCCAGGGAGAGCCATGCTGGGTCAGGCAGGAGCCACTCTTGACCAGTGCGGTCCTCCCCAGCAAAATCAGCCAGGCCCCAGGGTGCAGGTAATACTGGACTAGGAAGAAGCGAGCTTTGGGACCTGCTTTAGATGTGAAGAGGGAAGCACACACCCTTCCATGAGCAAGGGCGTCCACAGAGGCTGGGAACTTGGGCTAGGTCCTGTTTCTCTTTGCTTTTCTGTAGTTTATAATGGCAATGAACCCATAGTATTTCTTATATGCTTTAGTCAGAAATAATAAAAGATCATAATAAGCTGTATAGTTCAAATACAGTCATAAGGTTTCATAGCGCCACAGTTTTCTGACCTCAGGGAGAGAGGACCATGGGAGCACAGGCATCCACAGCTCTGAGTCCATATCCTGTCCCCACCGCTGCTATGTGAACTTGGACAGGTTCATTAACCTCTCTGAGCCTCCAGTTTTGTATCAGTAAAATGGGGATAAAGGAGTAAGCCCCTCAAGGCTGAAAGGAGGATTTAAGAAAGCCATGCCTGGTGCCTGGCACACAGGACTCTAGCATCACTCTTGCTGAACCTAGCAGGAGGTCATGCTGCGCCCTAAGCCCAGGCTGCTGCCTGTACAGCAGCCTGGGTCCAGCTCTGGAATCTGCAGCCTGACCTGAGGCAGTGGGGCAGGGCCCCTGGGCTGAGGGTCTTCACAGTGAGGCTCTGATCACCTGAGAGGCCCTGCAAGCCCCTGGATCGCAGCCTTCTGCTGGGAGGTGAGGGCTGGGAGACGGGGCCTCAGGGCAGCTGGGCAGCTCTGGCCAGGCCAAGGAAGTTGCCACAGGGTGGAGTGGGTGGGGGAAGCTCTGCCCACCAGGTCCAGCACCTCCTAAGGCCCAGGGTTCCCCACGTGTTTGCTAACCTCATCTGACCCTCGAGCCTGGTGTCACAAGTGCCCTCCCTGAAGCCAGGGCCCACACCTGCAAAGGGGCATGCCTCCGTTTCCCCACACGAGGCTGTCCGCCAGGGTGTGGCCTCTGCTGACCCTGGGCACTGGAGATGATGGTCTGGCCGAATGAGTCACACCCAACAAATGGGCACAGAGAAGGGCTGCTGATCAGGGTACAGGCACCAGCCAGCTGTAGCAGGAGGCTCCCCAAGGCCCAGGCTCCCTCCACCAAGTGGAATAGTCTCTGTGGAAAGCCAGGGACAGATCACAGGAAGGCCAGGCTGTCCTGTATTCCTGCCCCCAATCTACCCTGGGGGCATTGGGAAGGCAAGGCTTACATCTGGTGCCCACATAGGCCTCTGCCCAGTCTCCTCCAGAGACCCCATTCTACTCCCCAGAGAAATGGGGAAAAGCCTGCCCTCAGCATGGGAGGTCCCAAATGGTATTCCGACAAATCATGCTCCACAAAACTCAGCCACCTTCTCCAGCTTCCTTAGCCTGACAACTTAATATGTAAAGAGCTCTTATTAAAAAAAAAAGTCTCTGTTGTGGGGAGGCTGGGAGTGGGTAGATGAGATCTAGTCACCCAGCCAAAGCTTTGGCCAATTAAGGACTATTGTCAAGACCCTCTCCTGCTCTGGGCCTCAGTTTCCTCAGGAGCAGCCAAGGGAGAGGTGTGCGTGTGCTTCTTAAACTACGAAGGCCGAGCACCCATAGCCCTGCACAGGGAGTCCGAGGGAGGCTTTCAGGATAAATAATGAAGAGCCCAGCCAGACGCTGACTGGGGGCGGCCAGGGACATTGCTCCTGAAGAACGGAGTCAGAGGGAGTCTGGGGAGATAGCCAGCATGGCCGCCCACCACCTTCAGAGTCCCTGTCTCACCAGGCATGTGAAGGGGCACTGTGGGGACCAGGAAGGCCAGGCAGGCCAGACTACGAGTTGCCGTCCCATGCCTGTCCCAGCAGTCACCAGACTTCCTCACATCCTGGGCCCAGGGCTCAGGTTTGACATCACCTGTGCTAGGTGACTCTGATGTCAAAGACCCCAAGCAGCTGCAGGACTGTGGTTTTGGCTCCCAGGCCTGGTCAGGGACCAGGTCAGAAACAGGCCTGGGACAGGGACAGGCTCCAGACGGTCTCCTTCTGGGGCCATGGAAGCAGAGCTGGAAACAGAGCCTCATGGCCTTTGATCCATGACCCTAATGGCTCTTCCACAGCTCCCAGGGCAGCCAGGGGCCATGGGACAGGGATGGGGCTCTCCTCCAGCCTTGGTGGAGGCATCTCCCCACCCGCAAGCAGGAGGTGGGACTTCTCTCTCGCATGCAGTGTGGCTAAGGTGCTCACAGGCCAACCCGCAGGGTGCCCTCTGTCTCCAGCACCCTGGCCAGCGGAGCTCACCTGCCTGCCATCCCCAGAACCTTGCGAGCCTCCTACTAGACAGCGTCCCTACCTGGGATACAGCAGGCTCTTGGGCAGCCCCAGCCTCAAACTGCATAGACACAGCTCCTGCTGTGACCTGTGCCCCTTGTTCTCACCTCCTCAAGCCCTGACCTTCACCCCATGCTGTGACTTTTACCCCACACAAAACCTCCTCATGCCCACCCATGACTCTCTAGATGGGCCAGGCCTCATGCGCTGTGAGGTCTGTGGCATGGGGCCACAACTGCTCCCTCTTAGATGCCAGAGCCACCCCAGGCCTAGGAGCCATCTTTGGTCCCCACCTGCAGTCCCCTCTAAGGTCCCCTCCAACTACCGGCCAGGGACAGTCAGCCTGCGATGTGACAGTGGCAGAGATGGGGACCAGGCCTGGAGACTCCCAGTCAGGGAGTTCAGGAGTCAGGGCTGTTGGGCTCGACTTCTTCTACAAGTGAAGCCCTGTCCATGAACTGGGCACTGTCTGGGCACTCTGGGGTTTTCCACATCAGATCCAAATGCCGTTCTTCCCACCCTGAGGCTAGCTCTGTGCTGGACACACAGCAGGGGCTCGCTGATGCTGAAAGCCCCTGAGCATCAGGATGGGACAGGCCCAGGAGCTGAGCCTCCTCACTCTGGCCTCTGTTTCCCTGCTGGGCTTGGGGGCTGTGGAGGGGTGGTTCAAGCCTGGCTGACAGCTTGTCGACACTGGCCAGGGTGAGAGGGGGTTGGTCAGGTGGGTGATGCCTGCACGAGGTGTCCACCTCTGAGGCATGGTGGGGCAGTGAGCAGGTCCAACGTGTGTCCCTGGAGCTGCGGCCCAGCACCAAGCCCAGACTCAGGAAGCTGAAAGCACTCCCAGCCCAGCCACCCTGAGATTCCCTGACCAGCTTTCTGCCCTTGCTGGGCCTCAGTTTTCCCATTTCCCAATGGGAGGTTGCACAGGTGGTTTCTGAAGGCCATCTCTTCCCACAGGGCCCAAGTGACAGGTAGGCCCCTGGCCAGGCCACATGTCCTCCCACCCCAGGAGCCCACCTGTACTGGAAGGTCATGTTGGTGATCTTGATCTTGATCTCCTCGCCCAGCCTGCGCTCGCCGGTCATCTCGAAGAGCTTGCTGGCCATCTTCTCGTACACCTTGGCGTTGCGCTTGGTCTGCTTCAGCTCCTCGAAGAACTCCTCCCAGACGAGCATGAGGCCGCGCATCTCCGCGTCCGTCCAGTTGCGGGCCCTCCGGTGCTTCTCCGTCTGGGGAGACACAAGGTAGCCGGGCACTTCGGCTGCTGCCATGCTGGAGGCACCTGCGGGGAGGAGGATGGCGCTCAGGTGGGGCCCCAGGCCCGTCCCACACACCATGGGCGGGAGGCACCGCAATCACTCGCTTGAGGCAGCTCCGCGCTCAAAATGGGGCCTACGTCTGACAGGCAGGAATTTAGTTAAAAGCTTTTAAACGGGAAACGTCATTTTGATGTCACGTTTCCATAGCAACAGAGCAACTGCATAAGCTACAACAACAGAAACCTTTTAACTGAAAGCGCAGGAATCGGGGCCGTGCTGACGGGCCATCAATATTGTAGCAAGCCAGCGGCCGGGCCCAAACCCAGCGGCCAGGCGGCCAGCCCTGCCTGCTTCTCGCCTGGCCCTTGGGCCATGCAGAGAGGGTTCTAGCCATGCTGGCCAGGCTCCCAAAGGCAAGATCGGGGCAGCAGCCCCCACCTCAGCCCCACCTGGCTCATAGAGGCCAGGATGGGCCATGGGAAGACTGTCAAAATGGAGGCATGGTGGGGGAAGGAGAGGAGAGATAGGCAGACAGGGAGCCTGCGATCCCCGGTGCTGACTGACGAAGTGGCTGCTGGTGCTGGGGGTTCCTTGGCTGAGAGACCCTCACCCTTAGGAGGGCCCTGTCAGGTAGAAGTGAGCGGGGGGGGGGGGGTCCCTGGTCTTGAGGACCAGCATTTCTCAAGAGACCCTGCCTCTCCTGTCATTTGCTCCTTGCTTCTCTTGCTCCACCCACCAAACACCCTGGGCCTCAGGTCACGTGGGCACTGGGAACCCAGGCTGGTCAGAGCCAAGCCCTGCCCTTAGTGCAGGTCAGGGGCACAGGGACACTGAGCGACTGACCTGTAGCATAGGCTGGTTTGAGGGCAGCACTGGATAGCGAAGGCAAGTCCTGTGCTGAGAGATGAGGAAGAGCCACTGGAAAAGCTGGAAACGTTCAGAGGACACTCACTGGAAAGAGCTGGGTGGGGCCAGGGCAGCAAGGCAGGGTGCAGCCTGGAGCGTGTCAATGGGCAGGGAGACACAGAAGTTTCCAGATGGTGCAGTGTGGGAAGGCAGGGTCAGCCCGGGGAGTGGGCTTCTGTCCCTGTGGGGCTGAGTGACTGAAACGCCAGGAGGAGTGAGCAGGCCCCTCAGTCTCAGGAGCCAGGAGGCAGGGGTGGTGGAGCTGGGGGTCTGCAGAGGGGATGTGTCACCTCAGGGTGTCAGTGGCTGACATTCAGAAGGTCAAAACCAAACGAGACTCCATGGAACTCAAGGTCCCTCTGCTGGGCAGCCCACGGTGGACATGGTACCAGCCTGATCAGCTGCCCACTGGCCCAGTGCACGCCTGCTGGTCTTGTCCGGCCCCTGTGCCAAGGCTGAAAGAGCAGCAGAACGCTGACCAGGCAGGAGGGTTGAGCACACAGGCAACCCCAGGAGGAGGGCAGCTGGGGTGCCTGACCCCACTGTTCTGCCCGGCATGGAGGCAGTACAGGATGCAGCCAGAAGGGAAGGGCCTGGGAGGGCAGCAGGGTGCCCTGTACTCCCTTCACAGTCCTCAGCCACTACCTGGCCTAGGCATCAGCTCTGGGGCCCAGCTGACCCCTTTCTCTCTGGGCCCTGGGTGTCATCTGGAGATCCAGGGACACTGTCTCTACCCGCTGGCTATGCAGTGCTCCCCAGGGAGGTTCACAACTGCTGCACTCCTCCCATAGGGCACCCATGAGAGACCTCTAATCCCAGTCTCTGCCACGTTCAGCCATACTGCTGGCCTGAAGGCTGGCTGCTGCCCCTAGTATCCAGCTCCCAGAGCTCTCAGAGGCCCACTCCTCCAGGCAGCGGCTCCTGCAGACACAGGGTCTGTCCCTTCTGAGGGGCTCCGCCCCCTGCCTTTTCCTAGTCTTTCTCCAAGGGCAGAGGTGGGGGCAGGAACTGCAGTCCAGGCAGACAGCTTTTGACTCCATTCCACGGACTCGCACGACCTTCCTTGACAACGTCCCTCAACCTGTCTCCTCATCTCTGTAGTGGGAAGGGCAGGACCTGGCTGGATGATTCTCAGTCACCCAGAAGGCCTCTGGTACAGCCCCTCCAAGCCCCTGAGGACAAGGGGCCCTGCTGCCATCTCCCTGCCCCTTCTGTGAATCTCCTCAGAGCTTCTGGAGAACACAGAACCTGGTATGCTGTCCTGATTGAGGGACAGCTGTTGGCCAACAGGTGTCACTGCTGTGCTCAGAGCCCAGCAGCCAGACTGCTCCAGAGAGGCAGCTACATCCTCGGCTTGCCCAAGTCCCAGTGGGCACAGGGTGGCAGAGCCACCCTAGCAGGAGCTACCCTATAGTTAACCATGCTTTAGGTGGCACCTTCAAGTGGTGAGGGTGGGCTTCACCTTCTCTTCTCAGACCTAGGGTGCATGGGAAACCCTGGATAGGGTGTTCTCTGGGGCTACTTCCGGAAGCAGCATCCTTGCCTGAACCCCCAAGGACAAGAATGAACTGGGCTGGTCAAGGCAGGTGGGCCAAGCCCCAGCTGTCCCTGCTAAGTGGCTCCATCTGTCTCCCGAGGGGAGGGGCTCCATACCTTGGCAGAGTTGCATGGCCCGCTGGGACTCTCAGTCACTGTGGGATCAGAGTCAGAGGGCCTAGGGCTGGGCACCCAGCAGCACCTGCAGGGGAGAGGGTGCAGGTCAAGCCTCAGCTGGAGCACCCCTAGGAGGCCGAGGCACAGGGTGTGGGTCCACGCTGGTCCTGCTGTGCACAGGCAAGGCCCACCTCTCTGGTCTTCCTTCTACAGGAGGTGGCGGGGGCCCAGCCCCCAGGCACATTTCATTAGCATCTAGGGTACAGGTGCTGCTTAGCCTGGTGGGCTGAGGGAAGCCAGACCCACCCAGAGGAGCAGCAGGGCTTGTCCCAAGTGAAGCCCAGAGCAGGAAGTACATAACCCATGGGGAGAATCTGGAGGTTGAAGAATTCAGAACTTGGCAAAGGCCAGGAAGCACCAGGAGTGTGTGGGTGTGGTGGGGTACCTGAATGTTGTCCCTGGGGGGCAGACGGAAGGGCCGAGGCCACGGGGCCTTGAGCACTTGAGGAGCTCTAGGAAGGGAGGGAAGAGGTGAACCAACTGTGGCGGGTGGGAAGGGTCAGATCCCCCTCAGGTCTAGTCAGCCCCAGTAGCTCCTGGGGCCTGGCTGCCGATCCCAGGGTGGACGACACAGAGCCTGTGGGTCTGGCTCATGTCCTGGGCATTGCCACCTTTTCCTCATGCCAACGAGGAACACAGACCCATAACTTTTAGCCCTCTTCTGCACTCGACAGGCCCCTGCCCTGAACCAACAGCTCCACCAGGTACCCAAGGGTCAAATGCCCGTCTCCCAGGTGGGACTGAAAGCCCTGTCTCTGCTAGGCTGTGACAGGAAGGGAAGAGCAGGCTGTGAGGCTGAAGGTCTTGCAGACTTCAAAGAGCTGGGTCCCCTCTGTCCACAGGCCCCTGGACCATGGACCATGCTGCTTACAGGCTAGCCTCGGGGCCCCCACCACTGTGCTGCCCAAGTGGGGTTCCCTGTCCCGGTTTGGCTGTCACACCATTCCAAGGCAGGACCCAGCTACCCTGGCCACTTGGCTCATCCACTAGGCAGGGTTAGTAAGTCTCCCTCTTTGGGAGACGACTTCAGAGAGCTTTCTGGAACAAAGCCAGCTACAGCTGGAAATGGGTGCCACTGGAGGCAGAGAGGGCGGTCCCCAGGACTTCCAAGCCCTCAGAGCTCCCACAAGCAGATGGGCAGGGCATGCTGTGGTGAGGGAGAGAGGGTGGCGGCAGGTTCTCCTCTGCTTAGGTGGTACACACATGGGGGCTCCTGCTCAGCTCCACTGGTCTGGAAACACCAGCCATGCCAGGTATGCCAAGGACCTTCCTGTTTTCACCCAAATAATGGTGGTTCAGTGAGGAATAGGGTGCTTGGTTTCCCTGAAATGAGCAGAACTTAGCAAGTTTCAAAGGGTGAGGCCATCAGGGACCCTGGAGTTGTCACTGAGATTCAGGGCGTTGAAGTGACTCCAACTAACACTCAGTGCAACTGAGGGAAGAAACAGACTGGGTGGGGCCATCCATCAGGCCATCTGGCCGACGCTCACTACCCTGTGCTGAGAAAGGGGATTCCGCCTAGAACAAGCAGGTGCCGCCCGGTCCTGAGCTGAAAGGTCCTTGTGGTCTCTCCTGGAACCAAGTGCAGGGCCTGCTCTGCGGAGGAACAGGAGGACGACGCCTGACAGCGAGCTGGAACCACACGGACCTTTAGTGAACACTAGTGCAACTAAACACCTTGCTCAGGGCAACCCTAACCCAAGATCTCACTCACCACCACACTGACCACCAAGGCTCCAGCCAAGAAAATAAGAGTCCCTGTAGAGCTAAGCAGAGACTTCCTGGGGAGGAGGTATTTCAAATGGGAAGGACTTACAAGCTAAAAAGGTTGGGAGGGGCACTGCAGACATGGTGGCCAAGCCAGGCCAGGGGAGAACAGCTGTGCTGGGGGACAGAAGGGTCCAGCTGGGACAGGACATCAGTGACCAAGGGGGCAAAAGGGTCAGTGAGGCCATGAGGGGACACCAAAGCCAAGGTTGTGTGAGGACACAGATCTTGCCACCCCTCTAGTGCACCGAAGCCAAATGTGGAGCAGAAACAGGGACACACCTGAGGTTCCTGCCCAACAAGCTCATGGTCCTACCCACTGCCAGAGCTTTAGCAGTCCACGTCTGCTAGGCAGGGAGCCGGTTGCACCAGGGCCTGCGGGTTCCGTCAGAGGCACCCATCCACATGCGGACCTGGCTCCACAGTGTCTGCTGACTGCTGGGAGGCTGTCAGCACTGACCCCTGGAGAAGAGAGGGACAGTTTCCTCAACCCTGGAAAGCAAGTTCTCAATGAGCAAAGCAGGCCTCACACAGCAAATGTGAATGGTTTCATTGTTCCTTTAATTTGGATATACAATTTTTGCAGCAGTTTAAAAAATGTAAATATACATCTCACATCAGTCCTTCCTCTCGGCAGTGCACAGTCAGGTCTGGGCTGGGCTCCGGGACTGGCCCATCACTGCCCTGTTGGCCCAGCAGAGCCCACAACGTGAACAGCAGGCCCGATGGAGGCCCTAGACGGGAGACAAACCATTGCAGGCAGGTCCCTCCATCCAGCCTGGGGCAGAGGGAAGGGGCTCCCTGGACGGCATTAAAGCACGACAGGCACAAGGGGAAGATGGCCCTGAACCTTCCGCGTCGCGTCGCGTTCAGTTGTCACATGGCTCTCAGAGCAAGTCCTTCCTTCCCGGCAGCTCCAGGCCCAGTGTGGGACAATCCTCTCTCACCTGTGCCAGCCCGCACCGCCCACCCAGCCTCAGCAACTCGAGGTCTTTTCTTTGCCCAGAGGGCAGATCTGAGTTCATCCAGGTTGGTGGCGATGGTCCCAGGCACCCAGCACAGAGGGAGGGAGGGACAAAGCCCAAGGGAGGATGCCATTTGATAGGAAGGATGCTCACAGCTAACAAGAGGAAATGAGTTCCACCCCCACAATCCCACCCACGAGCTCGCTCACTCCAGATCCCCTCACTGGGGGTGGGGGCGCTCGGCCTCCTGGGCTACGGCTGGCGTGAACTAACTTATTGCTGAGACCCACCAGCCGAGCTCCAGGCAGGGCAGCCCCAGGTCATCTGGAGGAGCTCCCCGATGGCCAAGGGGCCCTTCAGGGGAGGAGCCTTCCCTGAGGCTACATTCCGCATCTGGAGGTGTTTCCACTCCAGTCTTTCCTCCTGAAGGGCATATGTGCAGGCCAAAAGGAGAGAACAATAAAAGGCCCTTGGCAGTTGGAAAGTCACCTCCGTATGGGGCCATCAGTGGAAGGGAGGCACATTTTTGGAGAAGAAAACATGCTTAAGTGCATTGCCAAATAATTCTACCCTGGTTTCATTAAAATCTTTCCTGATAGTACCAGCAGGAAAACAATAACCCACCCTCCCCTCAAAACCTTAACAATCAAAATGACACTTTCAACAACATTTGGAAAGCTGCAGACTAGGAGGAGCTTGATGAAGTGCAAGCCTTCTGCAGAGCTGACAGGGAGGGTGGCTTTCTGCAGTAGGGCTCGCCGAGGCCCACTCTGAGGGGCTGGAGCCACACCGCCGACTCCTCGGCAGGTCTTTAAGAAAGGTCCACCTCCAGGCAGAACGGACACTGCATTCTTGGAGGCCTTGCATATTTGTCTTGAAGTGTGTGTGTGTAAATAAAACTATGGGTCTGGACTTGTGCCTGTACCTGCGTACCTCTGCATGGGTGCGACAGCTTCTCTCATGGACTCCACGCACACACAGGAAGGTGTTTGGGTTGCATCGTCACCAGAGCTGGGTTTCAGATCACAGGGTAAACGTGCAGGTGGCCAACTAAACCTTGTAGAACCCAGTAGTAAGAATCCCACGGGGGTGGCCCCAAATGTCACATTCACAGTGCTACTTCTCACAAATGTAAACATCTAGCCAGGAGCAGTCTCCTTCCAGTGCTTCTGCACAAGCTGCTGAACAGCCTGGGGGTGGGCAGAGCTTCCGTGGTTCCCAACTCTAGAAGGCAGGACTAGGGGACGCTGGGACAAGAAACGTGAGGCCCAAATCGCTAAGGGAGAGCTGGTGACTTTCCTACTTGTCACACAGATTCTGTAGCTTCCCTTAAGATTCTCCTCTAAAACCAGATCCATTTCTACCCTTTCTGCTGCACTGGCACCAGGATGGGTGATCCCAGCGTGGGGAAGCCTCATGGTGGCTGAGGCAGTGGCTCGGATGGACTCTTCTGATGCACTGTGTGCCGTGCAACCCTGCACCCCGCCTGCCCTTTGCAGGAAATGGAAGGAGGCTCAGGGCCTCAAGATAGCAGCCCACAGACCGATGTGCAGTCAACGGACTGCACAGACTGAAAGATTTCTCCTCCTCTGCAGGCTCCAGAACACCTCCGAACGACCCCCGCTTGCCACAGTAAACACCTGGAACACCAACCATCAAGAGCAATCAACCAGCACCACTGACACCAGACTAGCCAGGCTTGCCTCCTGGGAACTGGGAGGCAAAGCGCCTACCTGGGCACGGCCCAGCAGCAAGCAGAGTGCTCAAAGCATGCCAGTGAGCCAAGGGCATCTCACTATCCAGGGTTTTCATTTCATTTCAACAGTTTGGCTATTTTAGGCCTGGAAACAGGAAGCTGGTTCAGGAACCCAGGGCCTGCGACACAAGTGGTGGCTGACGGGGATGTGGAGCTGACCACTCACTGACCCTTCCCTCGGTACTACCTCATCCTGCCTGAGATCAAGCCCTATTCCTGGGCTGGAAGGGCCCCCATGCATGATGCGAGAAAGGGGAAGAGGTGTCTTGCAGCTGCCAAGACACTGAGCTTTGCTCTAGACCAAGGGGGGGGCGGGGCAGACAAGGTATAGGTCAGAGACACCCATGAGGCTGCCAGGCCAGGCCCCCCGTCTGGGCCCCACTGTGCAGAAGCAGCAAGAGGTCGGCACATCCAGCACCAGTAGGCCACAGCCTGGGGCCAGCTCAGGACTGGGCTGCAGTTGTCAGAGCTGGCAATTCTGGATGCAGTGGAGGCCACTCAGAGCCAGGCAGGGTGACAGGGAAACCACGTCCCTTATGAGTGGGAGGAGAGCTCTCCTCAGGCCTCAGAGCAGCCCCAGGGAGGACTTCTGCTGCAGACACCTGGATACCAGCACCTCCATCATTCTAACCAGATGTGAATGTGTGAAAAGGGGGGAGACGTGCAACCAAGTGCTGTCAGGTATGAGAAGGGCACGGGAGGGACCTGCCAGCTGGAGGATTCCACTCCACGGGTGCTGTTACATGCAGCACAGCCCTCACCAAGTCACACGCTTTACACGGGCATAGGAAGAGTTACGTTAAAATTAATCTCTTTACTGATATAATTAAATTTTAAGTCCTGAGAAGAAAACAGAGAAAAGGGAGAAGGGCACTGGGCGTCTGGCACCCCCAGCTCCCAGCTGCCACGCAACACAGCGCCTGTGCAGCTAGACTCCGGTGGCAGGTGCCCTACTGGACAGGGCTGTGGGTTGCTCTTCAGGCTGCTGCCAACGTTCCACCCATGGGACAGAGTGGGCTCAGGGCCAACTTGCAAGGGCAAGGACTTACATCCTGGACGCAAGGGCAGCTGTGACTTGGAGACGAGGTACAGGTGAAAGCTAGGAGAAAGACAAACACCTGGTCGACAGGCATTGCCACCAGCCGCAATGAGGACAGCGACACAGGACTCAGGCTCAACCCCACTAGACTGCATGTTCCCTATCCAGGACCCACACTGCCAAGAGCTTCTGCCACAGGGCAAAGACACACACACGGCTGGCTGGCTGCCCGCAAGACCCAAGCCAGAGCCATGGTGCCCAAGGCAGCCCCTGAGAGACAGGGCGCTTGGTGCAGGCTCCCATAAGCCCTGGCCCCAGTGGCCACCTCTGCTTGGCCTCTGCCTCCACAAGCTCTCAGCAGGTGGTGACCTTGTGGACATTTCGCAAGCAAGTCAGCAGTCGGTGGTACGGGCTCCCCGGTGCCGCGACCACCTCAAACACAGACTGGAAAGCCCTCCGGTCGAGTTCCTCCTCTATCTGATGTTTGTAGAAGTCTGTGGCAACCAGGCAGAAAAGGTTCACGTCCACCTGCTCCAGCTTGCCCATCCTGCTGACGACGTGTGGAAGGCTGGCGAAGGAGTCAAGGGAGAACGCTGGCAAAGGTGGGGACAGCCTCACTGTGCTCCTGGGGAGATTCTTTCCTGACCAGGCCTCCATGAGGCCCAGAAAGGATCAAGGGTGGCCAGAGTAGCCAAGGAGCATCCTGCATTGCAGTGTCAGCACCAGCAGGTCCTATAACCCTCTCCCAGCAGGGCAGGGGCGTGGGCAGAGCTGGCCCAGGAGGTGGGAGCCCTGCAGGCAGATGCTCGCTCCTGGCACTCTGTGCCACGGCACTTACCTGGCCAGGCCACCTGGGCAGCGCTGGCTGGTGGCTGGTGCTCCCGTGTACCCTGCTCAGGGCAGGGAGGGCCTCTGCCTGGCCGACCCTCCCAGGCACGCGGGGTGAGGCTGTGCTGTTCAGAGGCTCCTGTGGTCTGTCTGGGGGAGGGCTGCCTAAGGAGGAGCTCCTGGCCACCAGCACTGCAGGATGGGTCAGGGGGTGGGGGCTGGATCTTTACTTATGCCTCTCCCCAGGAGGGCCATCACACAATGAGAGCTAATGAGAAGCAGCACAGGAAAAGCCCAGCACTCCCAGGGTGCCCTGCCTCCCCTTTTTCCCCTCCACTGGCCATAATACTTCTGCCACACACCAGCCCCTCTGGGCAGC